ACAGATCACTGCTCAGTGTCAACCCTTTCCACTTGAGAAAGTTAACAAAAATTCAACACAGCAAGATTTGATTTGGATTTAAACATTCCCCTGCAGTGTTTACAAAAATCTCACCAGTTCAGGAGATCTAGAAAATAGAACTGATTTCCTTGTGCAAGTAGAATGAAGAGCAAAAAATACACAAGAAGCATGAACAAAAAGGTCAGCTGTACTTCAGATTCTTCTAATCCAATAGTTTTAATAATCTAAAATGAGTTTAGCAACACAAGGACATTTGTTTTAATAACCTTTAATCATGCAGTGACCCTTTAAAGATGATTCTCTTGAGCAAGCAAAACTGAGCATGCAATTTAAAGAGAGGATGCCCAACCTGGACGCACGGACTCTTGCAATTGGAAAATAGTAGTCTCATCTCCATTCTCCAAGCTCTTATCTTCACCACTTTACTACACACCTTTCTGTATTCTTCCCATTCTCAGGTCAGCAGTATTTTTAAACAATGTTTTGCATTCTCAGAGTATAGATTTACCTGGAGTTCACCCTTCTACATAAAACCATTTTCCCCAATTTACTCTGTGAGCCTATCATAAAAATCTAGGTTTGCGTTTACTACCTAAAATTAATCTGAAAAGATATTACAACACTAAGCCATTCTGCAACCATTGAGACCCTCCACACGCTTAGCCTAGCCCCTTCAGAAAAGCCTGGATAAATAGACAAGCTTTGCATTGTTCCATGAAGGTCAACACATTTAGGCACTTTTCGTCCATGAGAAGATGTAAATTCCACAGGCGAGCGCCTTTCACTAAGAATACTCTGCCACCAGTCCTAGATTTACAAATCTAGACACTATCAGCTCATTTGACTCAGCTGGTCTCAACTACAGGAGTAGAATTTGAAGTAAGAGACAGTGATATAGAGAGCTGAAATCACAAAAGGGTATTATAGCTTTGAGTCCAACAGCTGTAATGTTATGCTCTGTGCCAGAAGCACAGTTAAGTATGTATGTGAGAGGCCACATTCTGAACAAGCAAACTTTCCAGGTCATCTTCAAAAGTAGCCCTGTGTAGAGTGTACTGCATTCATCCAAGCAGAATGTTACTAAAGTGTAGAAAACTGGTGAGGACCCCATCTACAAGGGATGGTCACAACCTCCTCGTCATCTGACAGCCTGGTGGGGACACTGTAATTTTCTATTTACCCATAAAACATGGGTATAAAATGGGGATAATGATACTTACCCACATTGGAGATGTATGGATGAAAAGCATTACTAAATGAACCAAGTATTATTTGTTTAAATAAATTTACACACAGCATCCAGGTGTATCACAACAGCAGAATGAGCTTCCCCACAACGCTCTACCAACACACCTCAGCCCTGCTCTGCAGGGACCATTTTTAGAGATGAGAAGATAGCTCAGTCTTCACAGTCCATTTTCTTTATAGCCCATCTAATCCATAGCCTCGCCCCCTACACTTCCATTGTGGTTGTCAGTTAGTGGCAGCCGTGGTGGTTTTTGTGCAGTGGACACTTGGCCACTGGAAATGGAACAAAGCGACTTGCCAAAAATCAGATGTGAATGACTTTCACACACCATGAACTTGGCTGGAATTTGATTGGCCAATTTAGATGCGAAAGGTGCTATATATCCCCATTACTAAACCTCTGCGTCCATCAGAGTCCCATCCTAGTAATCCAAATAAATAATAGTATTTTCCTGATCATAACCATACTTCAAGCAACAGTTTATTGGAAAGGTCGCTCCAGTTTCAGAGAGATGAAATGCTTTATATTAGCTCCCCTCGCTCTTCAAAACCCCCTCTGAAATCTGCTTTTTCAAACCTGACATTTACCTGAAGACATTCTGTACACTCCTAATTAAATTTTCATGTGAACCACCACTGCTTCCTGGCAGAGAAAACACACATTCTTCATGCGCTTACGGCCTTCCATAATTTTCTACAGTTCTCTAATACGGAAAGCATCAGGCCTCGACTGCAAACACCAACACGGTGTTCAACACAATATGCTCAAATGGAACTACGAAATTATTTATGGGGGTTTATTTAAATCACCAATAGAAATATAAATAATACAACAAACAAATAATTGTATCTCACAAGCTCATTCAAGCAGAACTGCGGAACACCGGAAAAAGGGAGAAAGTCTTGCTTTTGTTGTATTGTTACCTTGGAAAGGCATGCCTGGCAATTATAAGACAGGCAGCAAAACTTTTCTTCCAGAACAAAATCTGCTGAGGTCTTCCGCCAAAAGAGGAGGAAAATTCTTAAAATACAACAGAATCTTACAGTATGTACACATCACTAAAGCTGCATAACTGACTTAAACATAGCTCATTCAAAGCTTTGCTGTCATAAGAGACTTTGAAGAGGCAATGACTGTATATTACTAATTCCAAGAGAACAAGGGGCAGGAAGGGGATGAAAGAACTAAGAAGAAGCTTTAAATGCCTTGAGCATTATTACAAGGAAGAGATGGAGAAGCAGAAGAAAAAGAAGGCTGGAACACAGATTTTATTATATAAAATTACTAAGACTTAAGAAGGCACCGTTGCATCACTTACTGATGTTAAATGAATCAGACAATAAATAGATCAGACACTATTCCTTTCTCTAACATTTTTTCCTGTAGCTCCCTTATCCAAGGAGCTAAGCAGACAGCTGCCCTTGCAGATGCTTATCAGGTGGATAAATACAACAAAGCAAATCCACTTTAAGATCACATTTAACTGTCATCACCATTATTATATCCAGAAACCCTCAGCACTTCATACCATAATCTAGAAGAAATCAATCTCGGGGAGGTTTGTATTGACAGCTGGCTTGACAGATATACATGTATTCTGCCAAAGTCAGAATTCAGTGATCTTCAAAGCACAGTGCAAGACTTATCTGTTTGATCACATCTTTTGGTTCTAATAAGGGGTGCTGAAGGGGGAAGGTAAAGTATAGGAACTTTCTGGTTTTGTGGCCAGAACTGCCACTTTAGAAAGTATTTTCATTTTTGTACTCACACAATCTACACAACCCCCAGGCAAGGTAGAGAAGTATTATCCCTATTTTACAAATGGGGAAACTGAGACACAGAGTAGATAAGGCTAAGGTTTTCCCTGAAGATCTGCACCTGGGTCTAAGCACCAGGGTTAGTCTAGCCCAGGGGTGAGCAGGCACACACCAAAGTTACACACACACGTTACACACGTTACTGTGCCCTCACTGGTGCTGTGCTTCCATAAACTAAGCCATTCTAGAATTCTTTCCCAGTGACTTGTGGAAGAACGTGTCTGTCCTACTGGGCACACAGGGGAATTGTGGGAAGGCACTGGAGGACTATCAGCACTCAGTCTGTGTCCTCACTGCAAGGTGAGCAAGTTCACAGCCCAAGTGAAAGTAGAACCTAGGCTTTAACCCAGACCCCAGCTAGCCAAGGTTAAAAACATCAGTAAAACCTGTGTACACACTGGGAGGAGGGCTGGGGCAACACCCTGGGCTACCTCTCACATAAATACATAGTCTGCCCAGGGTCTAAAAAGAGAGAGAGAGAGATTCAAGAGCAGGGACAGGATTAAAACTTGAAACTTGTTGACTTCTAAGCCTGCGCTTATGCCTCCAAACTATGCAGCCTTCCCTGTATATAAAAATACAGCCCCCAAAGCAAATATTCAGGGGAAAGAGGCAGCAGCCTAAATACAGGTTTTTTGGGTCTAGGAAGGAATTGACTTCCTGGGACACCATAATACCGGTTGCTTAGAAACACACACTGAAGTGGGGCAAGTTCCTTAGGTGAGACTTCTGTTCCCCTTTGCAGAACCACGGCAGCATCAGGGTACCCTGCCCTGTTATATCCCTGTTAGTACAGTACCTCAGCTGTCAACAGAAACACCAAAGGAGAAAGGGGATTTCAGCAGGATTTTGTTTGTGAAGTAAGGCACCCGTACCTTGCAAACCATGCCTTGGGGACAACCCTGGGAAACACGGACAACTGCAATGAACAGGCCCATGAGCATCCCAGCACTCACCTCAACAGGGGCTCTGCAGACCTACCTGGCCAGCGCCTCCCCCCACCCCACAAGCTCTCACCCTCAGAGTGCCAGGCCCTCAAGATCCCACCAGGGCTTGGGTCCCCCAACACCCACCTTTTTCTGGGGCAGGACTCCCATCTCCACCAAGCCTAACCCTACTGAGTCCATTCTCACCCCACTGGCTGGGGTCCCATTTACGTGGATCTGCCCCTCCCCAGCTCCGCCACAGGCATGGCTCCTCCCTCAGCCCAGCTCTAGCCCCCCCGGCTCTGTCCTCTCCTACCCGCAGCCAGCTTGGCTCTGCCCCCTTTCCCCCTCCCTCCGGGCTCTACCCACCCTCCTCCCCCATTCAGCCTGGCTCTGTCCCCTTTACCCCCCCCCCCCCACCCGGACTCTGTCTTCTCCTCCCCCACCCAGCTTGGCTCTGCCCCCTTTAGTCCCCCAGCTCTACCCCCCTCCTCCCGCACCCAGCCTGGCTCTGCCCCCACTTACTCCCCCAGCCCCCTCTCACCCTCCCCCAGGTTCTGCGCCTCCTTATTCCCCAGCCCCCCACCTCCTCTCCCCCAGCCCCCCTTGCCCCTGGGGCTCTACCCCCTCATCCCCCACCCAGCCGGGCTCTGCCCCCACTTACTCCCCCGGCCCCCTCTCACCCTCCCCCAGGTTCTCCGCCCCCTAGCCCCCCATCTCCTCTCCCCCGGCCCCCTTGCCCCTGGGTCTCTACCCCCTCGTTCCCCACCCAGCCGGGCTCTGCCCCCACTTACTCCCCCGGCCCCCTCTCACCCTCCCCCAGGTTCTGCGCCCCCTTATTCCCCAGCCCCCCACCTCCTCTCCCCCGGCCCCCCTTGCCCCTGGGGCTCTACCCCCACCCAGCCGGGCTCTGCCCCCACTTACTGCTCCGGCCCCTGGCTCCCCGCCCTCCTCCCCAGGCCCGGCTGTGCCCCGGCCCCCCCTCACCCAGGCTCTGCCCCACCGGGGTGCTGAACGGATTCCCCAGCAGAAACTCCATCTTGGGATGACAACAAACAGCCGGCCCGGCCTCCGATCCAGCTGCGGCCTCCTCCTCGCCCTGACCGGCACCCTCACTGACCAACCGGGAGCTCCGCCGCCGTCAACGGCCCGCCCGCCGAACCCCCACTGGCCAAAGCACCCACCTCCCCCGACTGCATTGGGGGCAGACCATGCCAATCACTGGCAGCCCTGCCTCCCCGCCCCCTCCGCCAATCAGCGCCCCCGCCCCAGAGTTACACCCCCCCACACACACGTTGACTGACATAAGAGCGGCAGGAACACCCACTACCGATACCCGCCATTGGACAGCCCTCCGCTAAGCCTCCAATTCTATTGGGCAACGGCCACACGAGTCCGCTGACGCTCCAGCCCGTCTACATCTAGAGCCGGTTCTGATTGGCCGACACTGCTTCTCTGCGTTCTGATTGGTGTAAAAGCTTCAGACCCGCTCTCCTAAGTGAACCGCCGAACTGAGCTGCGATTGGCAGGCGCGGTCTGTCCCGTGACGGAGAGAGTCGCCCAGCGCCTGAGATCACATGACTCCGCTTAGCAACAGCGCGGGTTTCCTTAGCAGCGAGCGCTAGTGCCCACGGTGTGGGGCGAGCTGGCCGGGCCCCCGAGCGTCCCGGGGGCTGGGTGCCCGGGGGATCGCGTGGCCGCCTTCGCCAGCTTCTGCGCCCTCTGCCTGCTGGGCATCTTGGGCTCCGGCTGGCTGGCGAGCGGGCCGAGCTTCTAGGGAGGTGGCAGTGGCAGGCTGGGTGGGTGATGGGCGGGCGGGTGTGGGGCACGCGGAATGGACAGGTGGCTGCGGGATAGGCTGGGCGGGTGGCGGGGGGCAAGTGAGTGGGTGGTTGCGTGGCAGGATGGGTGGCAGGTGGCTGGGGGGCAAGTGAGTGGGTGGTTGCGTGGCAGGATGGGTGGCAGTTGGGCAGGTGGCTGGGGGGCAAGTGAGTGGGTGGTTGCGTGGCAGGATGGGTGGCAGTTGGGCAGGTGGCTGGGGAGTAAGTGAGTGGGTGGTTGCGTGGCAGGATGGGTGGCAGTTGGGCAGCTGGCTGGGGGGCAAGTGAGTGGGTGGTTGCGTGGCAGGATGGGTGGCAATTGGGCAGGTGGCTGGGGGGCGAGTGGATGGTTGCATGGCAGGATGGGTGGCAGTTGGGCAGGTGGCTGGGGGGCGAGTGGGTGGTTGCGTGGCAGGATGGGTGGCAATTGGGCAGGTGGCTGGGGGGCAAGTGAGTGGATGGTTGCGTGGCAGGATGGGTGGCAATTGGGCAGGTGGCTGGGGAGTAAGTGAGTGGGTGGTTGCATGGCAGGATGGGTGGCAGTTGGGCAGGTGGCTGGGGGGTAAGTGAGTGGGTGGTTGCGTGGCAGGATGGGTGGCAGTTGGGCAGGTGGCTGGGGGGCAAGTGAGTGGATGGTTGCATGGCAGGATGGGTGGCAATTGGGCGGGTGGCTGGGGGGCAGGCTAGTCTCACGCGCGCGTGTGTAGATTTCCTTCCCCCTCCCCCAGTCTGAGTGAGGCCGGAATTTGCCGCGTCAGATGGGCGTTTAAAGTTTAGAAACCTGTTACTGGTAATTCTCACATGCACGTTCTACCGTCTCTTGACAGGTACGTCGAGTCTTATTCGGACGTAAAATTCACCTGTGTGGAGGCCCAACGCAGAGCCTGGTACGTGCCCTCTCCACTAGGATGAATTTCACCCACGGAACCTTGTAGTGGGATGGGCCCTCTTCTGCTCCGATGGAAGTCTGTTGCAACTGCTCACTGATGTTTGTGGGGAGACCATTGTGCCCAACGTTGCAGTTCTTCTGCATGGAAATTTCTCCTTAAACTCGATGCAGGGTTTCTACATGGTATCATGATTAGGCCCATGAGTTTGACAATCTTCTGGCCCTGCACTGGGTAGCTGTTCAGTAAAGTCTAATAAGTCTGAGTTGATTGGTGCAGGATTGGGCTCTCAGAATATCCCACTGTGCTATTGTTTCTTTGTATACTGCATGCAGTTCAGTGAACACATTGAAAAAGGTAACTGTCTGATACTGTTTGTTCTGCTCTTGAAGGCCTGTTTCGTGTGAAAATGAGTCGGTTATACGATACCATAGAGCCAAATGTGATTGATGAAGAGCTGCTTCAAAAAGCTGTGGAAGAGCAAGGGCCCCAAGAGGAATTAGGACAGCTTGCCAAAAGGGAAGGCATTGATTACAAAGATGTCTTAGAGCTACAGCTTGATTTTAGAAGTAAGTATCAGATTTTTTTAAATTAAAAGATAATAGTAGTATGTTTGAAGTGACAAACTGGTCATTAAATAATCATGACTAGCCTGGAATTTGTCATGTAAATAATAAGGGACTAAATTTACATTTTTAGCTGTAGCCATATGAAATAGTTACAATATTAGGGGCTGGATGGTTTAGCTGAATGGTAATGGGCTATAAAGCTTCTCAGCTCTGTTATTATTAATTATTACTATTATGATTTAATATTTATCTTGTGGTGGCACCTAATGGCCACAACCAAGCTTGGCCCTGTTGTGGTAGGCCAAATCAAATCCAACCTAAGTTTCTCGTGACCACAAGTTGTCCTCATCTGATGGTACTCTGGTAGCTTATGGTGGACACAGTCTAGTTCAGAGTGGACGAGCATCTATATTAAAATAATATCCCATCACCACAATTGGTACTGATTGACAGCTTTGTTGAAGGGCTCAGCAAGAGGCCAAGGATTTAATTGGTGAAGGAGACTGAATTACCCACTTGCCCTTCCCATTGCAGGTTTAGGTACATTCTAGAGGTGGTGTGGGAGAAGTGTGCCCCATTACTGTGTGGATATAGGAATTTGGTCCCTAGTACTGTCAAACCAGCAGTAAATTAATACACAAAAATTAAAATAAATTGATGAGCAAAATGTACACTTAGTTTGTTCATGCAGTTATCATGATTGTGTGCATGCCAATGAGGTAACTGTGTGTGCAATTGATGACTTCTGGTAATTTGCACACACCATTTCCTGATTTGTGCATGCATTTGCTTGCAAGTGGAGTGTGCAGTTGTGTGCACATTTTTCACATGCAGTTGCATGCCTAACGTTAAAAAAAATCATGCCATGTTTGTTTGAGGTTAAAGCGTGTTTTTTATGTGGTTTTCCTCTTCTGTATTTGTATTTCTACTTTTTATCTCAACTCCCACTCGTATAAAAAGAAGGGAAATGAGAATTTCCTATGCATTCCATCACCATGACCCCAATTTTTGCTGTAATCCATATCAGCCTGCCCTCGTGTATCTAATTTTCTCCAAAAATCAAAACGCAATAACTCTTGTTTTCACTCCAGACAGAAGACGATATGATGCATAAAAATTGAATTGTAATTCTCATAGTAGTTCCGCTTTGTTCTCATGCAATGATTCCATAACCTCAGCAGGTGAAGAGCATTACAGAATGCAGGGTAACTTTATAATGTGATAGGGTAGCTGTTTACAATTAGCCACTACCCACCAGTAGCCTGCAACTTCAGAGGAAAGTACTGTCTCATTCCAAGCCCCAATCTTTAAGTTGGAAATCAAAGTGAAGGTCAAGGCCTTCTTGTAGTGAATCCATAAAGCCACTCTTGACCGCAGTGTTGCAGTCAGCATCCCTTCAATGACTTCCTGGTAGTACTGATTAGCAGTGGGCAGTGGTGCAAGACAATGAGGTTATTCCAGTTGTTTCAATCTAAACCCTCATCTAGCCTAAGGACCTTTTAGCAGTCTCCATGGTGCTCTTCACACACCAGTGCACCATCATAATCTGCTCAAAGAGGTAATATTGGGCATGTGTCACTAGCACAATATAGTGTGTGTTGCAACTAAAGTCTGGGGTATGTGAACTGCAGTATTTTTTTTTGGTGTGTTTAGATATTTTGAAGATTGATAACCTATGGCAGTTTGTGAATCTGACTAAGCTGCAGCTAGACAACAACATCATTGAGAAGATAGAGGCGTTGGATACTCTGGTTCACCTAATCTGGCTTGGTAAGAGTTAGGGGTATGAGGCTGGCTTCACCTTGTACTGGTGTAAAGCACGAGTAATTCCATTAAAATCAGTGGAGTTACACTGGTGTAAGTGAGATCAGATTCAGGTCCATGTCATAACTGGAAAAAGGCAGTTAGTGGTACTGTCAATTGATGGCTCAGCTTTTAGTATATGTTATATGTATTTTGCTTGATAGTTGAAATGAAATTGGTGTCTGTAGATTGGGTATGCTACACTTCTAGAATGAAATGGAATTGTACTTTGAAATGCCTACACAAGATATTAAATTCTATTGTAATGGTGTTTGGAAGGAGATACTGGCAACAATCACCCCATGCTAGCACGGGGAAGAGTTATAAAAGATGATGGGATGTACCAGGTATTTGTTGCCTCCAGATGAAGACCCTGCAACCTTGGTGCACCCTGCCCAAAGAAAGTGTCCTGGGGAAAAAAAACAGAGTTTAGACCTCCAGGAGCTGCTAAGAAAGGCCACCTGGGATCAGCTGCGGGTGGAACCAGTGAAAATCGGACCTCCAGCAGCTAGAAGGACTGGGAGCAGCCAGAAACTAATTAGGGCCCAGCAGGTGGGATAAAAAGGGCTGGCTGCTTCCAGGGACTAGTTCTGAGTGCAACTGGGACAGAGGAGGAAGGAGGTCCATCTGGCTTAACCCAAGAAGCCTGGCCTGATCAGGGATGAACTCTGACTGCGCCTTTGTTGTTTGAGCCAACAAAAGCCTGTTTTGTACTTTGTGGCATGTAAGGCCCCAGAGCGGGCCATTGGAGTCAAATATTAATGTGACTGCTGTAAGACTAGGCGAGCTCATGTTGCAAGATGCTCCACTGGCTCAGGCCCATGACAAAGAGACTTGGGGCCTGATTCACTACTGCGTTGATTTCAGTGGTGGTACGCCAGGGTGAAGCTGGAGCTTGGCCTTCAGCCCAGCCCTGCTTACTCAGTCCTTGTTCAGGCAAAGACCCACTGAAGTAAATCAACGCGTGTTTTGCTTGAATGTACGCTCCAGGCTGTGACACTGTGAGGAGAGGTTTGGACCTCCTTCATT